TGCTAAGATTAATTGTACCAGATTCTGATTGTTCATATGATGATTGTTCATATGATAATGATTGTTCACCAGATGACGCCTGTGTATCATCTATCAATATAATTTGATTCATAACAGCACTATCTCGAACCTTTTGAACTTCTTCTTGACATTCCTCTTATGCCATTTCTGCCGCGATTTGTGCTATTTGGAAACCCGTTTTGATCTATAAAATAAAAAACTATTACATATAATTTTTAAAGTGTAGTTATTATCATAGCTGATCCTAAAAATTGAACCAATTGTAATATAAGTTTTAAGATTTGGGGGATGATATACAGTTTTTTTTTTTTTTTTTGTTTTTTAAGTAAAATTTATCTTATTAATGGAAGTTCAATTTTAGTATCAGATGTTTTTGCTTTGGCCGTGAAAATTACATCACTGGAAAACCAGACTTCGGCTTTTAATTAATTATTATTTACAAAATTCAACTTAACCGAAATATCTATATAATGCATACGTAATTATCGTCATATACAGGCCGATCTTAGTAAATAATAAGTAATAAATTTGAAAATGTGAAGTCTGGTTTTCCCTTGCACTATACATATTTTCAACTTTAATAACAGATTCATAACTTTTGCTAACGCTAATATTAAGTTCTCACATGATTATCATGTGAAAATGGGTAATACGATGATCTGATCTTCTGCATCATTTTTTAGAAGTATTGCACAACAGACAACTTATAGGACTAATTTTATGTAGCAACTATTTAATAACTTAAATCCATACCTTAAGACGATTTCATCGAGAGTTATGATACCATCCTATGTGAGAAAAAAGCCGTTCGCAGGGAGCTGAATTGACCTTGATGCTGTATAACCTATGTGCAACTTTACCGATTTCTTTCAGATTAAGCGCAACAAACTCTCAATACCATATTAATGTAAGCCCAATTACATTATTTGTTGTCTTGCTTTGTTCGTATTCTGCTGAAATCGCATCAAGAGTATTGCTAAACCATTCATCAGTGAAAATGCCTTATTTCATATAATATTCCGTTAATTCCAATACTATATGCTTTGGCTTTTCATTGAACCACTTCTCATAATAATACTCAGCCCAATTAGTTATTCTTTTAAGACTAAAAAATCTCTTATTATCAAAGGCATGAATTTGAAATTGCGGATGAAATATAACTGCTAAAAAAAGCAAAGGTTGTTCCTAATCAGCCCAATGCTTTTCAAGTTGTCGTAACATTAAGTAACCAAATTCGTCAGTTTCATCCTCATACTGTTGTGCTATGTATACAAATGAATATATTATATCAAAAAGATTTGCTACATCATGCTGAAGGTGATTTAAAATACTAACAAATGGCAGCAAACAATCTATAAGCTTAG